ACTGTCATTACTTGCGGCGACCGTTGAGTCCACCACGTTCACCTGCGATTCCCGGAAAGCTTGGATGACCTTGGAGATAGGGTGCGTCTCCGATGGGCAGCTCACACGAACGATGACCTCGTCCTGTGCTGCCTGGACGTCGATCTCAGGGCAATGCGATTTCGGCTTGCAATCCAACAAGGATGATGAGTCACCACACATCTCCCTCTCCGCCTCCATCTCCTTGAGCCTCTGCTGGAGCTCTGTGATGTAGGATATGGCATCGCCGAGCAGGGAGGCCTTGTCCATCTTCGAGATGTTGGGCACCACGGCCCTCAGGGCGTAGAACCTCTGGTTGAGTTTCTCCCTCCTCTGGCGCTCGGCTTCCACGTGGTTGAGCGGCTCCTCCCTGCCGTTGGCCGGCTTTCGGCCCCTCTTTCGCGGCCTCCGCTCTTCCGTCGCGCACGATTTCTCTTCTTTGCACGGGACCTCCAAGTCCGAGAGCTCCGAATCCAACCCACCCAAATGACCAACCAAGACGCCAGCGGAAGCAGGATTCGGCCCATCTGTGCTGAAATCAATTTGCCCAGACGGCGGCAGCGATTTCAGCTGCTGGCGCTGCGGCGGCAGCTCCTGAGGCCGGAACCTATTTGCCGGCCTAGGAGGATTTTCCCCGACGACCCCTCTCGCATGTCCAACGTATGCTGCACCGTTAGCAAATTTCTTCTGGTGAGCATTTACGATGTGATTCTGGTTCCATTGAAGCGTCGTCCCACCAGCCGCCGGCGGATTCTTCTGGTGGTGATCCCCACGCTTCGCGTTCATCTCCAACCGCTTCTTCTCCGCTTTCACGATGGACGCTGCTCCACCGTTCAGTTGAGCGTGCCCAAGATTCAAATCGCTCCCAAAGATCCTAGGATACTCCGCGATGTAGGCGCCGGCCCCGAAGCGCGAAGCCAAAACGGGGTCATTGTTCTCACCTATCTTATCGACTGCTGCTGCCGCCGCCGCCTTCTTATCGAGGCCTCGACCAAAGATGGCCCTAATCCTCTGCACCGCCTCGAAGCTCTCCGGCACGGGATCCACTGAACCCAGTTCGAGCACGCCCGCATCGAACGGCAAGAAGACGATCGTCCGAAAGCCAGCCGACCTCGCAAGGAACGCCCGGACGCAGTAATTGCCACACGCCGGTGATGTCAGCCCCGCCTCCGATATCCATATGTGCTTCCCCGAAGCGAGAGCCATCCCCGGGGGGTTCTCCCCTTTAGGGAACGAGAAGTACATGGACGCCAGGAAGTACATCTCCACGTCGGTGATGCGGTCAAGCCTCAGCGCGTAATTCTCGTCGTCAGAGCCGCCGGAGAGCGCGTGGAGCCTCTCGAGCACCCGCTTCCGCATCTTCTGGTGGGCGGCGTCGATCGGGTGGCTCCGGGCGCCGCCGCCGCCTTCCTCCTCCCAGTCCCCGAGATCGCGGCAGTAGCCGTCGCCCCAGCCGAGGACGAAGTCCCCGGACTCGGACCGCGAGATCTGCCAGAATATGGCGTAGGCCCAGGTGGACGTCTGGCCCTCGACGACGTCCTGGAGGTTGTTCTGGAGGTCAGCGTCGCTGCCGCCGACGGCGGTTAGGTGTCCATCGGAGGAGGATTCCTGGTGGGCGTTGAGGTAATCGAAGCCCTGGCGGCCAAGCACCGCCACCGCCATCTGCCGATCCTCATCGGACCAAAACGAAGCCCAACCCATCCCGCTGCAACTCAGGCAGCCCCTGGCTTGGACGGATTCAGAGATCTCGCGAGTCCACTTGCACCATTCCCTCCCGAGATCTCGCCTTCAAGATGAAATTGGAGACCAGAAAGGGACACCGACGCCGAAGAGTTTCACTCCGCAAGTCGATGTTCCCAAATTACCAGAAAGGAAACGAGAGAGAGGGGCAAGGAATTGAATATGGAGCGTAGAGTTTGGAAAAGATGGGGGAGGGAGGGAGGGACGGAAGGAGGTGAAACGCGCAGCGAAGGGACCTCTTGTTGCGAGGGGATAAGAGAGGGCAGGGGCAGAGTCGTTATATTACACGTTCGAAAGCACGGACCCTATTGTAAAACGTGGGGGAGACAGCCGAGCCGAGCCGAGCCGAGCCGAGCTCAAGGCTCAAGGTCGACGGGGAGAGAGTGGTACGCTAATGAATGGGACGACGTGGTTTTCAACGTGGTCGGGGACGTTACGAAATCATTAGCTGTGCGTCGTCCCAAAGGACAAGACACGTGATGTACGGCCCTGGGCGGATCTTCTGCGATCAAACTTGTAATCGGAATCAACCATCACCGGACACCGCATCCGAGCCATCCATTGGCACTGGCTCCCACCGCTTAGGCGACGACAACGAAAGACTAGATCGAGATTGGAGGGGTTTGGTGGGGCTTAATCAAGTCAGGTAGGGGCTACGACTCGGCTGGAAGGACCAGACGTACGACCCAAGCATCCTATCAATCATTCTCGGTGGATCCGAATGTAATCGACGACATGATTCCCCCTCTGCGGTCCCTCGCAGAATTCTACTACTATTTGGGTTAATGTGATGGTAAATTAAAAGTCCTTGTTAGTGCTTAGCCTCCGGTTCATTTCCAATCCGAGGCTGTAAAAGAGGAACCGGTCCTACCACCCGGTAGTGGAAAGTCTGGCCATGAGGTACGAATACCATACAGGGAGTTGCAGTTTGAAACGACGAGGCAGTGGTAACCAGTTCGAGCGTCAAAGAAAGGTGAGGTCCGGTGGAGCCAATCTGGAGTGGGGTCGAGCTTTGAATCACCTTCCGAATGGCGTTGACAGGTTGTCCTGTGGTAGCGTGGTGACAGCGTCGACCAACCCAAACGAGAATAAAAACATATCTTCAAGCATCGGTGGGAAGGATGCATATCCGGTCCACCGCCATTTAACAGGTCGGAAGCAGCGAAGACAGACGCGAGGTGGTAGCGTCTCACATCTTCGAACATGAGTCCAACGGCGTCGTTTTTAATGCGTCTTACCTGGTCAAGCTCCGATGCTGCTGCTCATGCATCCTTGGCGTAATCGATTCTTTTAAGATGTTTGTGATAAATGGCGTGGAGGAGGAGATGTCAATGTGCAGAACGCGTGCAAGTTGCGTCTACTCGGTCGTTGCCATTGATTTCCACGAGAACGAAACCAGAACGCAGTCGTTTATTACCGGTCCCCACGCGCTTCGTGGGGCCCGTGGAAGTAGGCCTGTGGGTTTGCGACCGAGTCCGTCTCCGGCTTGCCGTTAGATCCGTTACGCGAATCTGGAGAGCCGACTTGGGGGTTCGGCTGCGCTATTCTGTCACGTGACATCTGCACGCCCGCATTTCTTTTGCCCCTCCTCGCTCCATCTTCCAGCCGAGCCGAAACAACACAGGACACGGAAACAGAAGACAGGAGGAGGGTATGAATCTCCACCGTCCAATTGCTGAGCCTCCACGATGGCATCGACTCAGTGGTGATTGTAGTTGGGGTCAGCCGAGACACGTGAGGAGCGTGAAACACACGTGACGACATCGGAACTGAAGTAATAAAAAAACGTGAGCCGCAATGAAGTGGCGTGCGGCAGATGGCAGGTCATGGACGCCACCCGTCTCTGTATGTCTTGTATTCCTCATCTGGTTTGCTTCGAGAGGGGGGAAGGAAATCCCAGCGCAGGTTCCCACCGTCTCTCACGGGTCCAATCAGCCTGTTCGAGATAGGCAAGGGAATTCCTCTTTCTTTTCTCTCATCCTCCCCCACCCCACAAAAACAAACCGTCCTTTGTTATATGCTCAGAATTTAATTAAAAATTATTTTAGCATTATTGTTCCGACACTTTTATGATTGAAATATAGTATTGAATGTGTTGTCATTCGGAAACAACTAAAATATGCATTTTGGGGGAGGGGGGAGGAGCGTGGAACAGCCATCATCCTCGACGTTCTAGGACTAATGCTAATTAATGCAGATTAAGTACCTGTGATATATCCATCAACACCAACGATTCCTAATCCTAGACGACAACTCTGCCATTTCCTTTGACGACGTGGTGGTTAAAAGATGCGGCCTGCATGCTTTTGGCGTGACCACCAAGGTTTCACCATGGCGACCAGCGAGAAGAGGGGTTGAGAGAGAAGCTCATCAACTATCGGGGAACGAGAAGACCGATTGAGGAGGGATGCATATATATAGTTCCACGTCCATCGCCTTTGTGTCCAAATGATGCTTCATGCTTGCCTTCTAAATCCGTGTCAATCTCGAGGTTCTCTGCACAATTCCCTTCAGCCCATGCATTGTTTCGTCGGCGAGAAGCGAGAAACATAATCGTTCTTCTTCTGTACATATGATTCTTCCACCATCAACAATTACATTCGTGCATGCGCGATATGGAGAGAGAGAGACACACACACACACACACTTTTATTTTTCCTTTATAGGCAAAGCTGAGGCTTAATGTCGCCAAGATGCGCTTTTTGCATGCACATCAAGATGATGGACGGTGGAGAAGCACCGACAAAATTTAGTGTCTTCAGCTGCACGTCTTGCTGGAATCATCAATTTAGGGCACCGTCAAGTACTATCTCAGGGGGGCAACATGCATCAAGCCTTTGGAGGTAGCATCTGTCTATGCATGTCTTTATGGTCTGCTAAAGGAGTTTATATCATTTTGGTCGAACATGAGACGATACACCAACGGAAGAACTCGCAACAGCCTCTGCTATACAATATGCACATATATCCAAACAATGGTTTAGCTTTAGCCAGTAGGAATTTGGATGTTAGTATGTCGATTAATTATTATTATATATACAAATAATTCATAAAATCAACACCATGTGGGACCCGATTAGGCTTCGTCCGTTCAGATGGACGACGCGGTTGGTCATTTAGACTCTCGTACCGGGACACGCATTTCACACGTTGTTTGCTAACTCCGCGCATTCACCTCCCGAACGGACAAGACGTCGAAGTCGTCGTCACATAAAACAGAAGAGAGACAAAAAGATGAGGAGGAGAAACGGCGAGTGGAAAAGGAAGCGTTGCGGAGCATGCAATAGCTGGCTGGCGCGTCAGTTGTCCGAACGAAAGGAGAGAAACGATCGATGGGTCCCGTCGAAGCAGGCAGGCGTTCGAGTCGAGGCGACAGAGTCATCCTTAACGCATGAAGAAGAACAAGAGGACCACTGTGCTTTCGGATGTCAGGCAGCAATGTCACGACGGTGGTCCGTCTAGCTGTTTGTTTCTGGTCGGCTGCTTCTGATCTCGCGTGGTGCGACCCACCCCGGCCATTCAAGTTTGAGGATCAGTTTCACGCATAAGTCGCGAGTAGGTTCAAAAGAGGGAGGTGCAGTGGTTGCCTTTCTTGGTCATCGGTCGCTGATTTGTGCTTCCGTTAAGATGATCGGTATCATCTTCGGATATCATAAGCTTCCCTGCAATCTGAATCTACAGACGGTGCGCGCTATTTGTTTGTTTGCCTCTCGTTTTCTTTTCTTTATTATTGTTGTTATTTACATCGGCGGGAACTTGATCGATCAGGTGACTTGGGGTGGAAGTAAGGGTTGCCCCGATCCATCACCCTGGGATGATAGATAACCTATACGGAGTCACCAACATGGCGGAGTCTCATCGTGTATGTTAATCGTAGAGGTAAAGCAGTAAATCAAAAAGGAAACGCGAAACTATAATTATTTTTTGAAAAAGAAAAACTGAGAAATAAGGGGGGAAAAGAAAAGAAGAATGGATCGGTGCTGTTGATGGAATTTAGGCCGGTGAATGATGCGAATGGGCCGTCCCTTCCGAACATTTCGCGTGTGGGCTTTCCAAAACGACGTTCGAACAATCGGTACGAGGTGGCTGGTTGTCTCTGTGTATGTTCGTCTCACACTCTTCTGCTTTATTGTGGCATTAGCTACTGTCAGAATCTCGAAGAACCAACCTCCAGTTCTTGTGGTTTCTTCCTCGAGTTCGACTCGCGAAGCTGTTGAATCTGACAAGTAGATGGAGCCAGCGAATACAGAGAGAGAGCGAGAGAGAGAGAGAGTGTTGAATCTCAGCTTGAGGCGGATTTGCTTTAGCCTGTGGGGTCCTGCCCCCGAAAACCAATAGGACGCAGAGTCTCGTGGCTTGGCGGCGACCCCATCGGGCCGCCCACTAGATTTCTAGTGGCGGGATGTGGTGTTCATGAAAGATGGACTCGGTTTGAGAGGTAATGGTGCATCGTAAGCATATCAATCATAACGTGGGGGTGAGGCCCCACTTGGAGCGTCGCGTGACCACCGAACCCCTCTCGTGACATGGATGGTTAACTACTTCCCAATCCCTTAATGTTCTTCCATGTATGCGCGAGTGAGTGCTGACACGAGAGAACAAATTCTTCCCCGATTCCTCTCATCCCCTTCAAAGAAGATTCCTCCGCCATGGTCGATCGGAGATCACCTGTCGCGGTCCTGTCAGCCAACACGAACTCACAGAGACCGACCGAATTCCAACCCGTCAAGCGTCCCACCGTGGACCTCCTGGACGTCTCGATGACGGGGCGGGGGGGAGGAAATGGTGTTTCCTGTCTCGTCTGGGTCAGGCGACCTCGACCACAAAAGCCGATGGCAAGAGCCGGTCCCCACAACCCCCGCCCGGGCCCACCGCCGATATGCTATTCGGCTACGCAAACGAGTCACGATTCCACCAACCGTCGTGCTCATGCTCATGCTCATGCATTGGTGAAGCCATCAAACACGGAAAGGAGGTCCTCCCACTGGTCACTAACCACGGACCCCACAAGTCCAAAGGGTCAGGTTTAAAAGGACAAGGACCAAGTGCCCGTGACAGGTCGTCTTGTTGCTGGGACGACAAGGGGCCCACGGAATCTGACCTGTTATTCCGTCTCCGTTTCCCAGGCCGAAATCGTGTCACCTCAATATGACGTGTCTGCCGGCCGACCCAAACGGTGAGTATCTGAAACGTGGGACACCGCAAACACCTGATTCCATGGCAAATGGTGAGGACTGACAACCCCTTCACATAAACCACCGTTTCCGCCTATGCAATTTCCCGACTCCAAAACCCCATAATTAATCTGCATCGAAAAGAAGAAGAAGAAGGTTTTTCCTCTTTATATTTCTATTTCAATTGTTTTTAAACTTATAATTTAAAATTCTAACTTTTTTCTAACTCAAAAAAACGATCGATCCCTTTTTTTTTTGTTTTCTATAATGTTGGTTGGGTCCCACCAATAAGTAAAATGTAAAGTTGATAAAACAGAAATATTTCGTAATAAAAAGAAATGATGGTCGAAGAAGTTTGGTCGGCGTGGTTTTTACTTGGTGAACTCCTCCGCCCCCCCTCCTTTCCTCCTCCCCCAAGTCTTGATCGGAATTCTCGGTTGTGTTTATGACCGATGCATAGTCCTCCTCCGGTGCCGTGCTGTGGTGTCTGCTTCCTTTGTGGTCTTTGTTTCTGCTGGACTCCGTAGATCCATGTCTCTTATCCCTCGCGAGTTCTTTTTCCTCGCTCCGCTCCTTTTCTCCTTCCCGTTGCCTCTACCCACGAGTAAGAGGTGGTTTGCAGTTTGCTTTCTCGTGGCATTTCTTCTCGGCTTTTGAATCAAACTTCACCCATAAAATTTTGGGGGGTTAAAAGGTTGCGGCGTCGGCTTTCTTTAATCCGCTTTGTCTCTTTCTTTTTGCTTGATTTTCTGCGAGAGGGGCTGATTCTTTTCTTTCTTTTATTTTTTGTTCACTTTATATTATGGAAAAGGATTCAGCCCCAAAGTTCAGATTCGCTGTGAAAGCTGGTTTGGTGTTTAAAAATCCACCTTTGTTTCCGGAACTAAAGGAAAGGTACGCATTCTTTGCCCTTCACAATGGGGACTATAAGTAGCGTCGCCAGGGGAGGTGGAGAGGAAGGGCAGGGAGGGAGCTGTCATTCTCAGGGAGAGGCAGAGGATTTGATGGGGCAGGGCCCTCCCCGGAGTCCCAGTGGCGCGGCCCGCTTACCTCTGCTCTTCACTCCTCAGGTTCGCTTCTTCCCTTTCCAGCGCAATACACATATCACGAAACCAAATGGGCTGATTCAATAGAAATCCTTTTACTTTCCTTGCAAAAAATAATGAATTGTGGAAGTATCAATCCTTCTCTCAAGTTGCATACATGGGTTTACTTTTTATTTTAACTCAATTATGAGCATGAATTCATGTGTTGGCTTGGTTGGTGCTTCATTAATGTTTCAGACAGGTTCATTTGCACCGATTTGTCGGATATTTGTGTTGTGTGACTGTGCGCAGCAGTGCTACTCATCTAAATTTCGAAACTATCTTCGATTAGTGGGTTCCTCTTTTCTCATTGTTAAGTTCACTAAGCATTGAAGAGGATGATACACAGGTTTATTTAAATTTCTGACTCATTATGAAGCAATAATTGACTAGGTCTTCACTCATGATAGATATTGTTATATTTATTGAAATTGAACATGTGTTACCAATTAGTTTCTCCTGGAATGGTGCTTCCTTGTGAGATCAGAGATGCTGTAATTACGTTTTTTTTTTTCTCTTTTTTTGCCTGTGCTGTTTACTGCCACTAAAGTGACAGTTTCCTTGGACTATCAATTAGGTTTTCCACCAGTAGGTGCTATTGATACATGAAGCTAGGGCTTCCTTCTAAGTTGCAATTCCTGGACAGTTATCTCAAAGGGCCTTTGAGGTAGGAATTTTTCTGTTTTTTTGGGGGGGGGGGGTAAACCCCTAGGTTGTGCCTTGAAAAAGCTTGCTAATTTCACATCTGATATGTGCACTTGTCTTCGATAAAATCGTTCAGTTTGTAGGATTTCGCCACCTCTATCCTCAAGGAAATTAGGTTTTTCATAATTAGATGTCAGTCTCATTGCTTGGTGATCATCAGAGTTCTCTACAAATAATGTTCATCACACAAAACCAAAGTTAGCTATGTGAATAGCTACAAATGCAAGTATTTTTCGCTTGGTAGACTTGCCATTGATAAAACGCAGAATGCATTCTCCTGAGATCAACTATGTTCCTCTATGATTTTAACAGATTTTGTGGTGTAATTCTCACTCTAATCATATGATTAGCGCAATTCTATGTCCTGCAGGTTCTGCTAAACGTTATCTTGTATTTCTTTTCCAGATTCCCGTGCCCCCGTTGCAGGGACGAGAGGAGATGCATTCACCAAGTGACTCACGGATGCCAAACTCCATTACGTATGAGGATGTCCTCGATGACCAAGGGATTCCAACGATGATCACCTGGATCCATGGTGGCATGGAAGTCTTCGTGGAAGGATCCTGGGATAACTGGAAGACAAAGTACTGGCAATTAGATCTTGTATGCCAAAATATATTTTTGTTGATAGTATGTGGTGGTTCAATGAGGCTATGCTTTGTTTGTGTTGTTGCAGGAAATCCTTGCAAAGATCAGGCAAGGATTTTACAGTCATGATGGTGCTTCCTTCAGGTTTCTACCGATACAGATTCATAGTTGATGGAGAATGGCGATATGCCTCTGATGTCCCATGGATGAATGATGATATGGGGAATGGCCACAACATTTTGGACTTGAAGGTATCTATTTTACTTGTTTTTCTTTTAAACCTCCATAAGACTCCAGGAGTCTTTTTTTATGCATAATTCTCAAGCTGGCTAATAAAATGGAGCATATTATTTGTAGGAATAAAATTTACATTGTCATATATGATCTCATGATACCGCCACACTGTGGTCAGTATTTATCATCTAGATTCACAAGGCAGAAACAGGCATGCGTTTAATTCTCATTGTCGTTCCTGCATCTTTTCCAAGAAATTTTTTTGTAGCTCTTTTGATAAATACTACAGAAGTGGCACACAGAGTGACAGGTTCAATATGAGATGTATTTTCATATCCATGAGTTTTATGCCTTCTTAGTGCTTATAGAATTTATTATAAATCCACTCGTATTTTGTTGTCATTATTAAGTAGTTGTCAGATGAGATATAGTCGGTTCCTTATCATTTATATGGACTGTCATGCTCTTGAGGCTTTTATGCGCTGACTTAGGGTCTTGATGAAGAATTGATCGGATGAGAAGAAAGAATTATCTTCTCCGGTTCTTAAGTAGCTCTGCATGAATCCTCTCATTTGCTCAACCATTGTTAGCTAATCTGGTTCGTCCACTGCCACCATCCATATATTTTCTTGTTGGCCTCGTTAGGGATTTCCTGATCAAATGAAAGTCTTTTTTCTTGTTGGCCTTGTTAAGGATTTCCTTATCAAATGAAATAGTCTTCTTGGCAACGCATCTATTTGTTCTTTGTCATAATTACTTTTAACGGACAACAAATCTTGGCATAGAACACAAAAAAGCTTCTCGAATTGACTTTTCTTGATGCAAGCATCATGATAAGAACTTTACTGTATCATTAGGCCACTTAAAAGAGTATCTCCTTTAGCTGAAAGAATAAAGAAAAGCATGTTGCTCACATGAAACCAAACAAGGATTTGGGTGATGATCGCGGTACCGAAGAAACACTTGCTGAAGCAAAGTAGATGCAACAATTGCTTTGGAATTTGCTGTGCTTATGCCTTCCGTTTTATTTGTCGTCTGTCGTTCTTTTCGCCTTCTGCCTATTCGAAATTAACAGTGAACAGAAAAGTATGTCTTGTTTTCTCTTCAATTTTTTGGTTAACATCTAATCGTTACACATGAATTGGAATTGGTATGGCAAAAACCCAGATCCAGAACTCCCCAAGGTTAAAGAGAACACGTTCTTGTGGTGCAGGCATTTGTTCCCGAGGATTTGAGAGGTGTTGCTGGGTTGGAAATGCCTCGATCCCCGGAGTCGAGCTACAACAACTGGCCGCTTGGTTCAGAGGACTACAGCAAAGAACCACCACTCGTACCTCCACAGTTACACCTCACCCTCCTTAATTCACCGGCCACCGTGGACTGCACCGCCTCTCTCACGAAGCCTCCCCACGTGGCACTAAATCATCTCTACATTCAGAAAGAAAAGAGTGGTCAGCCTGTCGTGGCACTCGGGAAAACTCATAGGTTTAATTCCAAGTTTGTCACCGTGATTCTCTACAGGTCCTTGGCAAGGTAAAATGTACAGAACGTACCTGCTGGTACAGTGTGTGACGGTCAAAACCATGTGCTTGGAGTCGAGGTAACTCGATCTATGATCAGTGAAACTGTGATGTTATGTTGAGGACCTCCAAAACCGATGAAGGGCGTCGTCATCTTCAAGGTCCTGTAATCAAGAAGCGAGCACTTGCTACTTGCTGCAGTGCTTCTTTGTGCTAGAAGAAGGAACAAAAAAAGAGCTGAGGTCTCTTTCCCGTTCTTTTGACAGGTTGACGGCACTCGCTTTTTGGAGGAATAATTACATGGGAGTTTGAGATCTGCTTGGGTTGATAAGAGAGTTTTCAATTCTTGTACTGTTGCATGAAATAAATCTGCTATGCGATCTCTAAACTTCCATGGATTTCGAGAGACCATCTTCTTGTAATCAGAAGATAATTAAGATGGCTGAAGTCGACCTGACCTGTCACACTCGATCGCACCCATGCGTACAACTGCTCTCTTTTACTTGCATAAACTAAAGACGAGACGAATTTTTTACAATTTACTTGCATTATTATGGTTCCATGTTATTGACATGCACGCATGCATAATCTTATCAGCAGCTATATATAAAGATAGATACGGCCGCACGCACGCACGCATGCATTTCCGCGTTGGTGCGGTGCGGTGCAGCGAGCGAGTCAGCAGCAGGCGACGGAGGATACGGACAGAGGATAGCGGTAGGTATTGGCGTACTGGAAGGAGAGGCTCTCACCGGAGGCGAGGGCTGCGCCATCGTTGACGAGACAGTCGTCGAAGCGGAGGCGGCGGAAGAGGAGGGGGTTTATGAGGCGGGCGGAGCTGAACCAGCCGCACCTCACGTGGATGTCCGCCACCGAGCACCTCGTTGGGCACGCGTTCAGGATCTGCACCGTGTACGTCGGGATCCCATTTGGCAGCGGCGCCGTCGCCCCCTGGTACAGCAGGATGTCGTCCTTGGAGCATTCCTCCTCCCCCATCCTCTCCGCCCTCGTTCCCTCCTCCGATCCCCCTCCTATATGTACAGACACACACATACACACACACACTCACTCAAATCAGACAAACAAGTATAAAATAACACGAGTACGTATGCATATGGAGCCATCACGGCCGTTGGATCTCACCAATTCCGAGAAGCTTCCGCGGTTCGGCCATCCGATAGCTGCCGGGAAAGTGGACGGCTCCTCCTACACGGCAGCGGGCCCCTGCGCACAGCACCGAGCACGTCAGTAAACAGCACCCCCTCGTCGTTGCGCAGTTCATAGGATCGCAGCCTGATCTGATCTGGATTGCGTTTCGGTTTCGATCTGGACCGTCGACTCAGAGACGGATTATCTAGTGCCGATAAAAGGACTTTTGCTCTTGATGAAATGCTACTGTGAGCTAGATGGCGGCTAAGCTTCGGTGAGACGAAGTGGACGAGGTGGGGAAGCGGGAAAGGTGCTTACCGTAATGGAGAAAGGAGGAGAGGGAGACGACGCTTAACAACGCCGCGGTCAACCACCAGGGTACCCGCCGCTTGAACCAGCCCATGGTCGAGCTCAGTCGTCGGATCCGCGATCACCAGCTGCTGTTGGACGCCTCCTGCAGTTGCAAGTGTGGATTCCGGGAAAAGGAGCAGGAGAGAACTGTGGGAAGTCGACCTCCGTGCTTTCCCGAAATGGCCGGGGGTGGGTGGGAGCGGTTCCTCTCAAAGAGACGGATCCTACTCCCGTTATATAAGGGAGGTCCATTTCTCCCCGCTGCCGGGAAGAATTCGTAATAATCTACGTTTCTGCCGCCGGGCCTCTTTAGTTTGTTGGGGCCCGCGTTCTCGTGCGTGGGCATTTATGGGTGGTTGGGTCCTTCCAAACCATTTACCTCTCGATCGGAGACGTGAGATCGTGATCGGAAGGTTGAGGCCAGGCCATGATGGCCCGGACCTGTTTTAAATGAGGGCGTCTTATCGGATGGCGTCCTCGAGGAATGAGGAAAGAATACGCCGCGAGAGCACTCCGACCGTCCATTCCCTGGACCCCGCCTTGGTTCGTCTATTTTGGCATCCCGGCGTCGAGGAGTAGATGCCCCTCGGTTTTCGAGACCAAAGATAGCGGGAGTTATGCTGTATCTTTGACCGAGGGTCTCGCTACCGTACGATTTTGATTGGACGCCCCGCGAAGACAGCTAAAAAGATTTGTGGCATGGGATGCAGCGCGTACTGCACTGCACTGCCCAACGAGCCTCAGTTAAGGTGAGCTCGAGTGCTGTGATTAATGGGCTTTACGTGAGCCTCATAAATCGACAGCCAGCTCATCTGAAAATGAATAAAGAGTTTATGTGGGAAATGCATTCTTGTTCCTACAAAACGTATGTATTGATTCCGATGCTGATGTATATCGACTGAAGATAATGCGTGTAATGCCTGCTTGTGGAACGTGGCAGGCCAACCCGTAGGTGGAAGAAACGGAGGCGGAAGCTGAAGCGGTGCCAGACTAATGGAAGAGACATATAACGAGTGAAAGCATATAATATATATAGCCAGAAGCAGAGAAGGGCGGAAACACGAGGAACGAGATAGCCGGAAGCAGCAAGAAGAGGGTACCAGCGGACAAGATGGTGGAAGTAAATGAGGAGGTGGTGGTGGGAGTTAATGAGGGGGGAGCCTTGAGGTGAAAACTGGAGGCACGTTGGAACGTAAGCCGCCATATTGCCAGGGAATAATAGCAAGAATGAGGTCGGAACGGGTCCGAGAATAATGGCAGGTGCTGGTGCAGTTGCAGGTGCTGCCTGCGCTTTGTGTTCTCCCCGTTTGCTCTGCATCGATGGCTGCTACCGGCGTAGGGGGCCGTCCTAGTCGATGATACGGACGAGAGTAGACACCACGTTTCACAAACATGTTCGCCAAAGGACACTCGTCGTGACTCTTCATGTGCCCGAATGGGAAAACCTTTGTACTCCAACCATTTGTTTCTTTCGTTGATTCCTAGTGATGAAATGTGCACAGAGAGGAGGACTGCAAGATTGAATTTTAAGCAAGATGACAAATCTCCGCACCAGGAATTCTGCAATCAATGGGTGGATGGAATCATCATCCTCTGTTTGCTAACACCTCGAGGAACCCAATGCGAAGGATCGACAGGGCTGCACGCTCCTGTTGTTGTATGAGGGTCCCTCTACACGCATGACTTTGAAGTCGTAAGCCTCTTCAACTAGTTGGTACCCGCAAAACCTAATATTCCTCGGATCTGCCAATAATTTAGGGTCAATATATTTTTATCCATTTATTCAACAGTGACGAAGTTTTATTTTCCGAAGAGACATTGGATTTGCATTATTGTCCGCAAGTCGATAAAGAGATTCGAGAAAAAAAATACATGATTCGTTCAAGGTCAGAATCACGCCTCAAGACGAGTTGTCTTGGGTATTTGCCACGTCATCACAATCAATGTCACACCACGTCATCGTCAAATTAGCAAGAGAAGCATTTTCATGCGTCGAGTCAGAACCGTACCAAGACGTTTTTTGTACATCCCATCTCATAAAACTTGGGACGATGTCGTATGATACCGTTCTCCGCGTCATGAGATGACGACCGTACAAAAATACCATCTCGCTCATTGATGATCGATTATCATGCCAAACTGCGTACGATCGACCCTCGTACAGTAGTATAAAAACCTCTGACCAGATGGGGAGACAAAAATAAACAAAACCAACCAAACACCGACTTACTCGTTGAGGGGCCAAAGTCGGTAATCACCCAGACCTTCTGTGCGAGAGAACGATCACCCCCTAAGCCACGACCATCCCGATTGAGAGCCGCCAATCAACATTCCGACCGAGAGACATCAATCAACATTTCGATACCAACACCTCATCCTGAGGGCATGATCGACCTCGATAATTAACTCAATCGATTGAAGATTCCCAACATCGATACATGGATCAGGCCGTGTTGACTCGTCAACAACGGCGCATCAATTCATCAACACAAGTGGGAATGAGCATTTGTTTCAGCGTCTTAAATGCCCATCTCTATCTCTCCAAATAAATATCTAGCCATCTATTCCCCAAGGACGCCACCCTGGTCGTTCCTATCTATTTATTGCGTTGGACAGAGTTGGATCACGCGGTTGGACTAGCCACGCTCCGTCCACACCACACGGCAAAGCCCAACCAGAATACGTTATGGAAAGAATGATGGGCTAATCTCATATCAATTTGGGTACTGCTGCTGCTCTTCCTTCGGTATCCACTGCCATGAACACGCCTGTTCGCGTTCGGTCATCCTTCACTTTCCCATTGTAGAACTACACGAAGGGCTTCCATGTATGGATCCTCAGCAGTCCCTCCTACGGATCATCGCCTTGGACAAAGTCAAACCCTCCGACGTCTTTCTCCATTTGGGCTTCCAGCAGGCCCACATTTAGCTACGCACGCAGTAAGTCACCCACCCATCTCATGGAGAGGGTTCGGATTTGCAATTGTCACGGATCTTGTGAATAACATGGTCCGAACCCGCAATCGACGACTCGACGGGGAAGACTAGGTCAAATTCGTCGGCTCCTCCTGGTGATAGACTTACTGAACTCACACTCTCGTCAATCCTGAAAGCACAAGTCTCCTCCACATAGTTCCTCTCTTCAGCCGACCCATCCATATCGTACTACCACCTATCATCTCTTCTCCTTTGCAGTACACATACACACCCACCCTCCAACTGGTCGTACTACCGCTGCCAAGAAAAACGAATCACGGATTCACCCCTCGGCCCCACCTCTTTTAGCTCCTTCCATAAGCTAACAAAACATATAATTACCCCAACGGCCCATCTCCTCTGTCCTTGGAACGCCTCCGCTGTCGCCATGGCCAAATCCCCATTCCCCTTCGTCCTCATCCTGCTCCTCCTATCCCTCGCCGTCGCCGTCTCCGCCCACGGTGGCAGTGGCGGCGGCGACGACGATGCGGACGCCGACTCCGATGGCAACAAGCCGGATCTCCGATCTAAGTCGCTGATCCTCACCAAGGTCTGGTGCCTCATCGTGATCTTCTTTGCGACCTTCCTCCCCGGCGTATCCCCCTACTTCTTGAAGTGGAACGAGGCGTTCCTCGCCCTCGGCACCCAGTTCGCCGGCGGCGTCTTCCTGGGGACGGCCATGATGCACTTCCTCAGCGACTCTGACGAGACCTTCGAGGATCTCACCGACAAGGACTACCCCTTCGCCTTCATGCTGGCTTGCGCTGGCTTCGCCATCACCTTGCTCGCCGACTGCATCATATCAGTCGTGGTGGCAAGGGGGCGGAGCGTCCGAGACGTGGAAAACGGGCAAGGTTGTCTTCTTCTTCTTTATATTATATTTACTTCTCTGCTTGATTTATGTTCAGAACCGTAATGTGATGGAACAATCCTTTTCTTTGTCATGATTTTTCCCCGTTTAGAATATTCCGTTTCGTAGATTAATCTATTTTATGTTCTTCCAATCATTTTGATGTTTTCTTATCAACATCATAATCCTCGCTTGCTGAATTTGATCTCTCTTTTCTTTCGTGTAAGTTTTGACGGGACAATTTTTTGAATCATGGCAGAAAGTTCGCATCAGAGTAAACAGGTCACGACAGGCGGAGTCTCCCAATCCCAACAAGAGGTGAGATGGCTTCCTGCTGGTTTTATAAATTAGAATTTACTGCTTTCAAATTTACAAAATGCAATCATGCGATCAACAACCAGTAGCAGTATCTGAAGCCAAAACGTCACTCCTCCGATGATAATCTAATGATTCACAAATTGTACGATCGCGTTAAGTCGATCGTTATCCTATTATAAAAGCCCCGAATGTAACAAATTGGTTCAAGTCACTTGAGCTAAACCTTTGTACGACGCACGCAAAGGTTGTGCGTTTGCTTCTAAGCCTGTTAACTATTTTGATAATATGAATGAACTTTTCGTCCTACATGCTTCTTGCAGGTCGGACAGTGCACCGGTGATCATTCTGTGGCATCTCTACTTCGTGATGCTAATTCACTTGGAGATAGCATATTGTTGATTTTTGCCTTGTGCTTCCACTCGGTTTTCGAAGGAATAGCGATTGGCGTCGCAGGTATATATATTGTGTTTCTGATGCACTATCTGTTTTCCTGTCATGTTTTAGATCTGTGTTTCTTGTAGCGTTAAAAGAGATTGAAATTTACTTAGAAGCGAACAGAATTAAGATTAACATAGAAGCGAAATGCATCTATCGACTTTTTTTTTCTACAAAGATACAAGTGTTCCCACTGAAAAAATAAGAATTGGAGAATGTGATGAGTATATATAGAGGTCATTTTGGAAAAATTGAAATAACATGATGAAGAAAGAAAGGGAGTCATCATTGAAAGAGAAGTTGCCATTAATTATTATTTGGGACCTCTTGGAGAGAAAGCCAACTTGTTTGAAGGAATCTAATGCCCCCCAGTTGATTTTGTCAAAACAGTTTTTGGCCATCACTGCCTGGTAGAAAAGTCTTATGGTGATCGATAAGTCACTCTATTACTAGGTCAGGAAAAGTACGCTGGAATAGGAGACTTTTATTTTCATCATGGCTACAACTCTATTAGATGTCTATTCTTTCTGATAAATACCCCAGCGGAATGGAAATGTAGAAGAAACTTCAACCTTTGGAACCTTGCTATGCTTTCTTCCTCATTATTATGACCTCATAAACATAAAGGTCCCAATATGACAAAGGAATACTGCGTCCTTGTACTTACTTTCCAAGTTGTTTTTTTAATTTTTAGCAGACTTCGCTTGAACATTTTTATATGTTCTCGTTCGATGTCCTAATTTGTGGCTGCTGAGTACCATCACAGCCATATATCATCATCTAAAAAACTCCCACGAGTTTGTTTCAAATAAAGATTAAAGGCTGCTTCAGTTCAGCTGAATTTACATCGAGGCGATGCTGATGTATTGTCTTGCTTGCAACGATGCACTTTTCGAAACTAAAATAGCCCGTTCGCTTTGATCTCTTGCTGTTGCCGTTCGCCATCTTCCTGTTTCATTTATTTCTTCCTTTTTCTTCTTTTTGATGTGATGGTTGATGTGCAGATACCAAAGCTGATGCATGGAAAGCTTTGTGGACTATCAGCCTGCACAAGGTGTTTGCAGCCATCGCCATGGGCATAGCTCTTCTGAGGATGATGCCAAACCGTCCGCTTCTCTCCTGCGCCGCCTACTCGTTCGCTTTTGCAATCTCCAGCCCCATCGGGGTGGCGATTGGCATCATAATAGATGCAACCACGCAAGGCCGCGTGGCAGACTGGATTTACGCCATCTCCATGGGACTCGCAACTGGGGTCTTCATATACGTATCCATAAACCACCTGCTCGCTAAAGGCTATAAGCCACAGAAACCGGTTGCTGCAGACACGCCTTTTATAAGATGGTTTGCTGTAGTGTTAGGAATTGGGGTGATAGCTGTTGTGATGATATGGGATACATGAGGCGCTACGATAGGAAGAAAAGTAGGAGGAGGATGTCTACTCTCTCTCTCTCTCTCTCTATCTTATCAGTGGTAGGAGAAAGACGGATTCATTACAGTTGCAGAACAGACGATGGACGGACACTAGGATGAAACGTGGATCTCAAGGCTGCAGCCAGTGTGAAAATTGAAGTGTCATTTGTAACTTGGTAGCTATTACTGTCAAGATCTGGATTAGAACGCCTTGTGCTCAACCGAGTCTTGTCGTAGTCTTCTTATATTATGTGGACTTGAACTAGTTTTGTCTGTTTATCTCTGAATCATACGCGAATACTGCTAATGTGCAAAGAACAAATCGATGGCTCTACTGGATTGCAAGTAGCGGCATGTGGAAGGAGGAGATGGGTTGGTTGGTGGCAAAGCTGAAGCAGGAGCAGGCGGCGGTCTCCAAGCTAAAGGGCGTGTAGATTGGCACTGCCTCGGTTCCCTCCCTGCCAACAAGTAAAACACCCAACGATCAGAATACTGTAACTCCCTTCCTCGTCACACAAAATCAATCTGATTCTAGTACCACACGAAAAATAAAGTCACGATTGAAGGGAACTGGGGGGGAAGAAGCAATGGCGGACCACCACCATCACCAAGAAATCTCATGAATGGTATACTACTTTGCAATAAATAAACATCAAGGCAAATGCATCATGCACAATATAAATCCAGCCAAAACAACTAACCTCACAGGCTTTCTTTCACGCCAAGCCCATACTCATCAACCCGCTCATCATCTGGGCCCAAGCATTTTTGAAAATGATAAGCCCATACCATTTGTTTATGGTTTGGCGTGCAATTAAAATGATAAGAAAATGGTTCTATTTTGATGACAGCTTGATCACCTCGGAATCTGTAATGCTTCTATTAGAATGAATACATGTAATGGCTTTTCGAAAGCAAAAAAAGTCTGCCATGGTGAGTCATAAGGTAAGCATCGTAATGGTTCTGATGCTGCAACTTCTGAAAATTCTTGTGCTTCAGATGCATCGACAAAAACAGTAACCTGAGAAAAATAATTAAAAAAAAAAGAATTAATAAAATTCACGAATATAAAAGAACCAATGGAGCAGCATTGCCCAAAAGTAGCTACTTTGCCATTTCCAGTATCTGTTCTTGGATGATGGTGTTTGTGCAGTCGTACTAAGGCCATCATAGATGTGTTTCACTATATCTATATTGACTGAATATTCTGTTTCCGCTACGGTCAGCTCCACAGGTGCGGACGACTGAGAAAACATAAATACTAACTGATACGCAAAATGCAATATTAAACGTTATATTAGTAGTAAACAGCAGCAGTCTAGTAACCTTGAAGAGTTTTCCAAAGCTCGCAAACTCAGGAGTAGAAAAAAAAAAGTAATTTTTCATATGCATCGAGGGCTGAGGTGGGAGCACCGGGAAGAGTCCCTAAACCAGTAGGCTTTTTACCAGGAGCCTTTTTCTCAGCAGGAGGTTGTGACTTCACATCCTTTGGAACAGAAGATATATCGAAGGGTATGTCTGAAGCTTCCTGATTAAACATCGGCACGCAGAAAAACGACGCATGCATTCGCTAAGCAAATGATGATGGTCTTTAGAAGGACGTGCAGTTATTACCTCATCATCACTCTCAGGCAGGCAAATATACGAGGCTGCAGGAAATGGCCAAATTCCAAGAGCAGTTAGTGTTGGATTATCAGTTGAAGAAACATTGCTTTGAGGAAAACAATATACATTCTCGTACCTTTAATGAGTCAACTATCGCACCAAAGTTTGCTAAGGTACTTACGGTACAAGCTCGGACAGTAGCATTTTCAAGTCTTACCCGATTGTAAACATGACGAATATATTTACTAGGGTCTGAGGTCTTTGGGCCTTCAATTTCCAAGAAAGTGAAGTATCTAGCAGCAATAGTAAAAAAGCTATTGGTTCTCATTCATCTAAACGAACATGAACAAAGACCCCCTTGACTACAGGTGAAGACACAAGCAAGCATCACACGACTATCGAATCAACAATTGCTTTCTTACAGCCAAAACCCCCTTCTTCTCCGAGAAACGTTGCTTAAGAAATTTACAAGTAAAATATGAAACTTACAAACATGGAACTTATAAGTGACATTAGCAAATTTACATACAGTGAACGGTATTTGAGAGGGAACTTCAAGCACAAAGATCTTATTGCTTCCACAACAACAATCCTGAACTCATCTGCAATATCAGACATAAAGTTGGTAATTTGTTTCATCAAGCGATGAACACTTGTTTCATTGCCTGTTTCACAAGTGTGGCAATGCTCCTGTTCTTCTGGCCTGAGATTAAGCTTTCCATATCGATGTTACAACTTGTAACTGCCAAAGGATGTGATCGACGACGATGAGATGGTGAAGCCGATGTTCAAACCAGAGGATCTTTATTTATTATTATTCAGCGAAGCACGTGCTTCACTTACTGACCCAATTACACACATCTAGTAGAAACTGATCGCCACACAAGTTTCAAGTTTGAAGCGTACGTACGTGACTGCTGCATGCATGCACTAGTTCTTCTTGTCATAACCCCCCGCGGCGACCGGCGCGCGCACGCACAGACACAGAGAGATAGAGAGCCAGCAGGGAGTGACAACTTTATTTAGGGTAGGCAGGCAGGCAGGGAGCCATAGGATCTTCAGAGCTGGTGGCCATTACTGGATGACTTGCAGTTCCATCCAGGTGTCTCGTACCACTCTCCATCCTCAGACAGTACCATTCCTTTGTTCTTCTCCACCCACCACGCCTCCGGTATCTGCGACTCATCCTTCAAGTAGCCGCCCCCCTTGTTCACCAGCGCCAGGCTCCTCTTCACCTCCAAGTGGAACTCGCCGCCCTTCGAGGTCCACCCAGCCAACGTGTGGAGGACCACTTGCAGGTCGTGGTTATTCACAGAGTTGTTCAAGTAGGGCGACATATTGGCGTCTATCTCCAGAAATGAGCCGGTGTCAACGTAGTCGGTTGAAATTGGCCACAATGGAACGATGTCCCGAGTATTCCGGACACGTAGAGCTCGAAGGTTGGGCAGCTCCTCAAACCTTTTATTGAAGGCCTTGTTCCCAACTTTGGGGTTCTCAAACACCACGGCACATACTGGGAAGTACTCCTCCGCCTTGCCTTCTATCTTGGACAGTCCTTTGTTCACCATATCGAAAGAACTCAAGATGGCGAGGGCGCCTCCCAAGCTGTAGCCAACGCACACTATGCTAAGGCTCTCGTTCTTGTATAGCTCCACTAGCTCTTTTAACTTACTCAATAACTGCTCCCTTGCACTGGTTGCGTTGCATGGAAATTGCGAATCGCTGTCTTTCAACGTGTAGATGTCGTTCCAGCCTTGCATGACCATCACATCTCGTTTGTCGGGGTCCAATGGCACGAGACCGGTCGTGAAGTCCTCGCACCACTCCGACGGCCGTCCCGTGCCGCGCCATACGACGTAGATCTCGCGGCGCCCGGTACGCTTCGTGTATGCGTCCTTGGAGACGGCGATGTAGCCCATCCAATTGGACTCCTTGGTCTTGTTTGACGAATTTTGCGACATGGCGTAGAGGTACTCCTTGACGTCGTAGTTGGCCGCGTAGGGGAAGAACACTTGGTCGAGGAGGGTGCTGGGGCGGTAGCGGCACATGCCACGGTACTTGGAGTGGTCGTCGCCGATGAAGGAATCGCCGGTGACCTGACACATGTCACCGCATTGGAGGAGGAAGACGCGAAGGGATTGGTCGAGAGGGTCGAGAAGGCCGGACCAGTGCTCGGATCCGAGGAGCTCAGGCCAGGATGGTGTTTCCGCGCCAATCTTTTGCGCCATTCGAAGAGGAGGAGGATAGGAGTGAATGATACTTTGTGTGGAATATGGTGAGGTGCCCAGTGACATATATATACAAGGAGATGGTAGCACGAACATGAAGGCCCATACAGGGATTCCCAATAATTGAAGCTGCTTGCCGATGAATGCAGAGCTCACCACGTGTTTAATGGAATCAATGCCTCAGGCAACTTGTTTCTTCGTTTTCTTATTCACTGCCCCACAGTATTAATATGTGATTTCGACCGTCGGAAATATTTTGGAAGTGTGTCCTTTAATGTAACCAAATCAATCTATTCTTAATCCTCCTATTATTAATCCTCTTATGCAACATATTATTTCATGTTTATCTCTATTATGATTTTCTATCAATATTATCTCAATAACTCTATACTTAAACAAATCTACATTAACAAAAAAAGTTATACGAAAGACATGAAAAATACTCTTGTTAGAGGGGTGTTTTTTTTTTTACAATGAAAAAAAAAAGGTGTGATGTGATTTCAACGGCCCCCATAGTATTAATTAAGCATGGTATGATTTCTTATTCACGGTCCCCAAAGTATTAATTAAGCATGATATGATTTCGATGTTGGAAACGTTTTGGAAGTCTGTCTTTTTTATTTAACCATATAATTGAAAATAAAACATAAATTATAAAGAAGAATCGAAGAATATGTTGTGAAAGGTGTTGATTTCATTCATCGAGATAATATATATTTATATAAGTTTTGAGGGAGAGATTTCTTTCGATCATGCACATAAATTACATAATCAGATCAATCGCTTAAATATATGATTGATCCTCCTATTACAGATTGATTGAGGATGCATGTAACATATCATTATATGTTTATCTCTATCATGATTTTCTCTCAATATTTTCTCAATAACTCAGTACTTAAACAAATCAACATTAACAAAAGAAGTTATGCGAAGGACATGAAAAATACTCTTGTTAAAAGAGTGTTTTTCTTACAATGAAAAAAAGAAGGTGTGATGTGATTTCGATGGACCCCCATAGTATTAATTAAGCATGATGTGATTTCTTATTCAAGGCCCCCATTATATTAATTAAGCATGATGTGATTTTTTATTCATGGCTCCCACAGTTTTAATTAAGCATGATACGATTTCCACGTTGGAAACATTTTGGAAGTCTACCTTTTTCGTGTAATCATACAATTGAAAATAAAATACAAATTACACAGAAGAATTGAAGAATATGTTGTGAAAGGTATTGAATTCATTCATCGAGATAATATATATTTATATAAGTTTTGAGGGAGAGATTTCTCTCAATCATGCACTTAAATTATCTAATCAAATCAATCGCTTAAATATATGATTGATCCTCCTATTATAAATTGATTGAGAATATATGTAACATATCATTCCATGTTTATCTCTATCATGATCTTATGTTAATATTATCTCAATAACTCTGTACTTAAACAAATCAACATTAACAAAAGAAGTTATGCAAAGGACATGAAAAATACTCTTGATAAAAGAGTGTTTTTTTACAATGAAAAAAAGAAGGTGTGATGTGATTTCGATGGACCCCCATAGTATTAATTAAGCATGATGTGATTTCCACATTAGAAACGTTTTGGAAGTATGCTTTTTTCATTTAACCATATAATTGAAAATAAAACACAAATTACACAAAAGAATTAAGAATATGTTGTGAAAGATATTGATTTCATTAATCGAGATAATATATATTTATATAAGTTTTGAGGGAGAGATTTCTCTCAATCATGCACTTAAATTACCTAATCAGATCAATCGCTTAAATATATGATTGATCCTCCTATTATAGATTGATTGAGAATGTATGTAACATATCATTCCATGTTTATCTCTATCATGATCTTCTATTAATATTATCTCAATAACTCTGTATTTAAACAAATCAAAATTAACAAAAAGAAGTTATGCGAAAGACCACATGAAAAAGACTCTTGTTAGAGTGGTATTTTTTTTTTTAATGAAAAAAAATGTGTGATGTGATTTCGATAAACCCCACAGTATTAATTAAGCATGATGTGATTTCGACGTTAAAAATATTTTAGAAGTCTATATATTTCATTTAACCATACAATTGAAAATAAAAAACAAATTACACAGAAGAATTGAAGAATATGTTATGAAAGGTATTGAATTCATTCATCGAGATAATATATATTTATATAAGTTTTGAGAGAGATATTTCTCTCAATCATGCACTTAAATAACCTAATTAGATCAATTGCTTAAATATATGATTGATCCTCCTATTATACATTGATTGAGGATGTATGCGACATATCATTCCATGTTTATCTCTATCATGATTTTCTCTCAATATTATCTCAATAACTCTGTACTTAAATAAATCAATATTAACAAAAGAAGTTACGCGAAAGACCTAAAAAATACTCTGGTTAAAGGAGTGTTTTTTTTATAATGAAAAAAAGGTGTAATATGATTTCGATGGGCCCCCACAGTATTAATTAAGCATGATGTGATTTCCACGTTGGAAACGTTTTGGAAGTCTGCCTTTTTCATATAACCATACAATTGAAAATAAAACACAAATTACACAGAAGAATTGAAGGATATGTTGTTAAAGGTATTAATTTCATTCATCGAGATAATATATATTTATATAAGTTTTGAGGGAGAGATTTCTCTCAATCATGCACTTAAATTACCTAATCAGATCAATCGCTTAAATATATGATTGATCCTCCTATTATAGATTGATTGAAAATGTATGTAACATATCATTCCATGTTTATCTCTATCATGATCTTCTATTAATATTATCTCAATAACTCTGTACTTAAACAAATCAAAATTAACAAAAGAAGTTATACGAAAGACCTGAAAATGACTCTTGTTAGAGTGATATATTTTTTACAATGAAAAAAATGTGTGATGTGATTTCGACAGGCCCCCACAGTATAAATTAAGCATGATGTGATTTCGATGTTAAAAATATTTTAGAAGTCTATATTTTTCATTTAACCATACAATTGAAAATAAAAACAAATTACACAGAAGAATTGAAGAATATGTTATGAAAGGTATTGATTTCATTCATCGAGATAATATATATTTATATAAGTTTTGAGGGAAAGATTTCTCTCAATCATGCACTTAAATAACCTAATCAGATCAATTGCTTAAATATATGATTGATCCTCCTATTATAGATTGATTGAGGATGTATGCAACATATCATTCCATGTTTATCTCTATCATGATTTTCTCTAAATATTATCTCAATAACTCTGTTCTTAAACAAATCAATATTAACAAAAGATGTTACGCGAAAGACCTAAAAAATACTCTGGTTAAAGGAGTGTTTTTTTTATAATGAAAAAAAGGTGTGATGTGATTTTGATGGGCCCCCATAGTTTTAATTAAGCATGATGTGATTTCCACGTTGGAAACATTTTGGAAGTCTGCCTTTTTCATGTAACCATACAATTGAAAATAAAACATAAATTACACAGAAGAATTGAAGGATATGTTGTGAAAGGTATT